GTGTTAGTCACATTGTGATTATATACACTGACGAGTTTGGGTTTACTGACTGTGACTTCTCAGGGAGAATTTAGGTTAGAGAACTTCAGGCATTGCTTCATCTATGTCAGTTCTAATTCTGTATTAGATTATAGGATTAACAAAACGAGAAAAAAAAATCATGTTGCATAGTATGGATTAAAAATAGCAGTGTTATCAGTTTGCAGGTGATTTTTTTTTTTTCAGCTCTGGTCTCACCTAAATTTTTGAGTAAGAAAGAAAACTTATGACATAATCCACCCCACAGGTGCCTTAGCACTTTTCTTAACGGCAGTTGCTGTGAACTTGGGATGCTGTTTAAGCATCTTGCAAAAATACTCTCTGATTACACACCTACCTCTCTTCCCACTAAAGTAATGAATTATTGTATTTAAAAGAAATAGAATTTTTCATTATGGATCCGATTAAAAGTGTGTTAACTCCTTAGAGGTCAGGTGTTCTGTGCTACCATTTAAATGAATGGAAATAAGAGGACTCAGTCTGTTCAAGCTTTGGAAAGAAACGAGGAAGTTTATCAGTATTGAAAGATTTTTAACTGACAACTGTTGCAAGGAAAGTTAAATTTATACATAAATCTCAAAATTAAGCTATTGTAGAAAAATTAATCACATTTATTAGTAACTATTCTATCAAAAAAAATCCTAATTTTAGTCTCTTCCCTCTGTTTTTCTTATTTCTACACAGGGAGTTGAAGCCTGGTGAAGAAGTGACATGGAGATAAGAGCTGCCGATGAAAATGAAGACATTTTTGTTTGATTCATCATCTTATCTCACATGTTGAAAGAACAGGATTATGATTTTTACCCTGAGAGCATACCACAGAAACGGACACCTGCATTTCCTCAGTGCTAGTTCAATTTCCAATGTTACTTTTTGAAGTTGATTTAATTACATGACTAATAGGTGTCCGGGAATTCCATTAGTCCATAAGTGTTGAGAACATTTTGTCCTGTACTCTGGAAGTGAGAAGGAAGAATTATGTAATAAAGAAAAACTATGCAAAAATAATTTATGCTGTTATTTATCTGTATGGTATGGAATCTGTGTATTGAAATGGATTTTATATGGCCAGCTGCTGTGCTGCCCGTGCCTGGCACCTTCCGTCAGCAGCGGTTCGTTCCCTAATTTATGAACTATTTGAAGTATTCCTTCAAAGGAATACTTCACATAGACCCAGAATGTGGTTGGCAGTTGCTTGGTTTTTTAACTGACAGGTTTTTAATGGACAAGTTTCTTTTCTGATTTCCTCTGTAGGCTTGTTTGGAACAGTGGCAAGTGGGTACTGCGGCTTTGAGACAGGAATGGGAAGGTGTGAGCGACGGGCGGCTGGTGAGCACAAGGAACCGGCGGCGCTGAGCCCTGGGACATAGTGGGAGCAGGCGTTCCCGGAGCAGCAGGGGATCGGGGTTCCCGGGGGCCCGGGGCGGTGT